GGACAAGCCTTATTTAGGTCCGTGAAGTCAACGCACATCCTCCAGGTACCATTGGGCTTCTGAACCATCACCACATTTGCCAGCCATTCTGGATATTGGCAAGGTTCAATGAATCCTGCCTCCAATAATTTTTTTGACTTCGGCTGCGATGTCTCGGTTCTTATTGGCGGAGTAATTCCGCTTCTTTTGCTTAACTGGTCGACACGTTGGGTCAACATTAAGCTTATGGGAGATGAGGTCTGAACTTATCCCGGGCATATCAGCTGCCGAGAAAGCAAACACATCTCTGTTATCCCGAAGGAGCTGAATAAGTTCACAACGGGTGTTAGGATCAAGGTCCATCCCGATTGTTACACATTTCTCAGCATCTCCTTCAGCCAACTCAACTGTTTCAGTCTGTTGGTCCCATGTCCATTGCCGATGGACTGAACTCTTCAGAATCTGGTCTGCTGCCAATGTCAGCAGGTGTCCCGTCTTTGTGTTCTTCGGCTGGCTCTCTGAGTCCTGCGGTTCAGCTGAAGAGTCAGCCTTTTCCCTTTCGGGCCCTTTTTCTCTGGGCACGGATCCTTGGGCCGAAGCACTTAGGCCTTTCGGCTTTTTTGTGCTTGGCTCCCTTTCTTTTCCTTTCCCCTCCTCATCCTTGTCATCGTCTGGGCGACTACTGGATGGTTTGAGGTAATTGCACCTTCGGGCGTCTTTTTGGTTGCCCTGTATCCTTTCGGGAAGCCGGCGTCTGAGACGTAAATCATCAGCTGATGATAAGTTGAGACGACCCCTTGGATCTCGTGAATTATGGGTCTCCCCAGAATCACGTTGTACACTGAAGGAGCGTCGATGACCAAAAATTCAATCATGACGTTCCGGGCTTGCCTCATCGCAACCGATGGTGATAGGAAGTGTCACCTTCCCATCTGGATAAGTTGAAGCCCATTGAACCCGGATACCGGATAGGGTACCGGCGTAAGGTGCTTGGGCTTCAGCTTAATTTGATTATAGGCCTTTCGGAACAGAATGTTTGCTCCACTGCCACCGTCAACAAGGACCTTACTGACGTCGTGGTTGGCCACCGTGGCGATGATCACCAACGGATCCTCATGAGGGAACGTGATCCCCCGGCAGTCGGCGGCTGTGAACGTCATGTTCGGCACCGGCGACTGGGGAGATTGAATGTCAGCGTTGTTCACCTGGTGAGTCAAAGCTCTAAGGTGGCGCTTGTGCTCCCTCCGCGAGTATATTCCTCCCGAGATAACATTGATCGGAGGGAATTTCCCCTCCGGCTTTTTACTGTTTTTCCGGGGGAAATCAAGGTCCTGCCGAGGGTCCTTTGCTGACCTCTCGGATTCTTTTTTCTCGCGGTGATCCGCGATGTATTTTTTCAAGTATCCCTTCCGGACCATGTCCTCTATCTGGTCCTTCAGTTGGATACACTCCTCAGTGTTGTGGCCCGAAGACTCGTGGAACTCACACCACTGATTTTTATTTTTTCGCTGATACCACTCTGGGAGTGGTCGCGGCTTTCGGTAACTCTGCTCTTCCTTCGTCACACTGTAAATTTTGGCGCGTGGAAGAGAGAGCGGAGTGTAGGACTCGTATCTGCCTGTGTATGAGGCTAATCTGTCCTTCTTTAGGTCGTTGGCCAAAGATGGCTCCGGAGCCTTTGATTTTTCCCTTTGCCTTATGGCCTTGGCCTTCAGACAAGGGTATTTGCCTCTGTTTCCCTCCCCCGGATTGAGGTTGGGTTTTTGCTTTATTCCATTCTTCGGCTCGGATGAACTTATCCGAAGCACTAAGAGCTTCCTCCAAGGTCTGCGGGGTATGCATGACCATGAAGTCTAGGAATTTCCTAGCTGAAAGGCCATTCTGCATTGCAAAAACAGCTAACCCCTGGTCCAGCTGGGAGACGCTTGATGACTCGTTACTGAAACGGGTCAGGTAGTCTCGGAGGCTTTCGGTTTCCCCCTGTTGCAGACTCATGAGCTCTGCGGTAGTCTTCTCTCGGCGGTTTGCCGTGGAAAACTTGCTCCTGAACTTGGAGGACAGATCATCCCAACCTGTTATGGAGCCTTGCCTTACTCCCTTGGAGATCCACGCTTGCGCGACCCCCTTGAGAGTGGTTGGGAAATATTTGCACCAAGTCGCCTCGGATCTGGGGCAAAGATGCATATGAGTCTCATACGAGGCCACGTGGTCCTTCGGATCCGTGGTCCCGTCATATGTGATATGCGACGGTATTTTAACCGTGGGTACGCGCTCTTCCAGTATCCATTGCTCGAATGGTGAACTAGCGGGTAGCATAACGGCCTTGCCCTTGTTCCTGGCCGAAGGGACCGCGCTCCGCCCTCTTAGAGAGGTAGGAGTGGTTTTCGTCCCTGGCTGGGAAGTCTGGGCCTCGGCTGCAGGGAACGAGAGGCGACTACGCACGCTCGGTTCCTGGCCGCCGAGTCGGTCAAGGACGCTTCTGCGAACAGTCTCAGGTTCTCGACGAGTAGATTCTGGCCGAGAAGCTGAGCTGCTGCTCTTATGCGCTTCTGGTCTTGAGGATGAGGATCCTTTAAATAATTGAGGGTTCTTTTTCCTCTGTTTTTCATTTTTCCAAGAATCCTCCTCCCACTCTTCCAGTTCCCGGAAGGAAGGAAGCTTCCCACCGTCATGGTCTAACTTCCTCCGCTGATGCCGGGTATGCGGAGGAGTTCGATCACGAGGCGGTGGCATATTCTGTGCCCTCATTGCCTCCATGAGTACTGCCAGCGCTCTTGCCACCTCTTCCGAACTGGGCCCCGTCAAAGGGTCCTCGGCCGAGTGTGGGTATGAGGCCGCGCAGCCGATGGTTGGCTTTGGGACACTGAATATGTCCTATGATCAGACTGACCCCTGCTAGACCGAGAGTGGTCCGGCCTATATTGAGAGTCATGCATTACGGGAGATAGGGAATCCTCCTTGTATGATCCTCCCCCCGAGCCGGCACCCTTGGGAGAGTTCCGGTCCGGCGAGGGCGATGGTGTAGGGGTTTTAGGCTTTTCGCCCGCTCCTTGACGGAGGCTTTTGCTCTTGCGGTTCTTAGCCATGGCTGCTAAGATAATTGCAAGATGATCTTGGTTAGGAATTTGGCTTAAAGATTTTTGAAAGTCTTCCCCACAGACGGCGCCAAATTGTTTCGGGTGAAAACAATGGGACCTTGCCGAAGGTCCGCTGAAATGGAGAAGACTGGATTCGGTCCAAGTTGTGTTGGGCCGAAGGTTTCCTGCACAGTAAACACACGTAAACTAGCCTCGGGGGTGTTGCCGAGGAAGGCCCCTCCGATGCTAAAGTCAGTACAATGTGTAAAAGGAAGACACTATGCAAGTGAGTTTGTAGCTTGAGGCTTTTGTGGAATATATCTCAATCAGAGTATGAATGAACGTGTATCAATATGATGGCTTTTATACCTCATCATACATGGTGAGGTTGGGCCTTAGCCCAATTGGCATGCTTTGTGGGCTGACCTTTGACTTTTGTGCAATTGGAGAGTTGAACCTTGACCTTGGGCTTTTAATTGGATCATTTAGTGCTTAGGCCCAATTTTGACTAAATTGGACCCAAACACATACTTTCTATGATAAACTAGAAACTATCCTCTTCTCCATATCCTTATTGAAGTAGTAAGAATGCCATGGCTCATCGATGCCATTTCAAGCAAGAGAAGTACAGATTTCCAAATCCTACATCTAACTTGATTATTCTTTCGAAGGCGAAAATAATGGTATGAACTTCCAATTCATAAAGCTAATTAATATTACTAATACATCAAAATTCCAAAATCCTCTTGCATGCAAAATTGAGCTTTTTATCAAGTTAAGGTAACACTAGTACCCAATTGCATTGCCATTTTTTACATTCAGATGTACAAGAAAATTAAAACAACAAAACCCAAATAAGAAAACCTGATACCTAACCAAGAAAGCTAACAATCAGTTCAAAAAGAGGAGAGAGAAAGTTGAGCGCAACCTCATGGTGGCAGTAGCGGCAAGCGTCTAGCAGAATCTTGTGATCCTTGTCTTCTTTTATGTACAAAATATTGTTGCTGTTACATAACAAACACAATTCAAAAATTAAACAATAACCCACAAATTTCCACTAGAATTCAAGCAAAAGTTTGCAAGAAATTTGTACAAATTGAGGTAAAATTGTTGTATTATTAGCAAATATAAACAATGTGGGTAGAAAAATGATGAATTTTGGTAGATAAAGATGGGATTTTGACGGAAGAAAATGAGAAAAATACTGACCATTTGCTGCAAAATTTCATGGTACTCATCTTGAAAATTGTGGTTGATTGGAAAATTTTGTAGCCCTAATTTTGTGTTTTCTCAGTCTCTCTTCACTACACTCACCAAGTCACTAGCAGCCTGAAGTGAGACAAGTGTGGCAAAAGTGGGGTTTTTAATTTCTATTCGAAATTTAGAACTCAAATTAATATTGTGTCTTGTGTCAAAATAAATAAAAATACGTAATAATGTTGCGTCAACTAAGCAAGTCCTACTAAATAGAGATGGGAAGCTAAAATATTAGAGTAGCTTGAGGCGTCTTTTATGTAATGTTGTAACTTAATCAAAGTATTGGGAGCGTCTTTTATGTAATGTTGTAACTTAATCAAAATATTGGGAGGGAAAGCTGGGCAGCAAAAATTTTGATCTTTTAGCTAGTAGGCCAATAGGGTTGAGTACTTGAGCGTGATAGTTTCCCTTGAGCGCCAAACCATCAATGATAAATTTCCTCAATAGTGGGCTAGCGGGCGGACAATGGCAATGTTGGGAGAAGAGAAGAAAGAGTGAGGATGACAACAATTCCCGGTGAAATTATAGAAGATTAAAAACCATTTTGGTTTTAGATGTAAAACACTAAGATAAAAAATGATACTCTATTAGAATTATAATCATTAATTGTGTGGTTGAAAGGTTAGATTTAATTTGAATTTTAAATCTACAATATACTGAAATATAATTTAACTATTCAATAATAATGTAAGGGTCCCGCCAAAAAAATTCTAAAAATGAGCACATCAATCGAACCTAATATTTTGCAAACACTATCATCCTCTAAAGTCGAGTTTTGCAAGAAACAAAGGACATCCAACATAGGAGAAAACCAGAATGCATGTCAATTAGGACACTTAAATGTTTTGGTTCTGAGTACTTCTCCGGCTGTAATCCAAATGCATGTCAATTAGGACACTTAATTGTTTGGTGGTGAGTACTTCTCCGGCTGTAATACAATGATTCACAACAAGTATATTAACAAAACATATTAAACATCTAGGCAAAACCAAGGCGCGAAACTATCACTACATGGCCATCATCTATGTTCATATATATGAGTATCCACAAAATGTTCTACGTACTCTAGCGTTGAACATAAACAACAGCAAACTTAGGGTGCAAAACAATAGCAGAAGCCAATGCTGCTACATCTAGAAAATCCCAGTAAGCATATTAGCAGCAGTAGCAATAGCTGCTCCTGTGATTGCAGACTGCACAACTTGCTCATGCGTTGTATCATCAGTCGTAAGTGCAAGAGTCATGCCTGTTATTGCTCCAGCTACAGCACTGTTTTTCTGTGTGACCATGAAAGCGAAACAGTTAAGATACGTATTACATTATCTACGGAGTAATAACTTAACATGATAACATCCCTCGCCCAACTCCTAGATAAGCTGAGTTGCACATATGTGCAGAAGAGCTACTTGTATTACAAATTTACAAGTACTAGTATATAATTATATTGTGCATTAAGAAGAGCTGCAAATGAAATACTTGGTACTACAATTATATTTCTGATAGGAAGAGCAAATAAGAGTCATGATTACCCAATCGTGATAACCACAAGCCTCATTCAGCCCATAAGTCAGACCAGAAAACACCCCTGCAGCCAACCCTGCACCGATGAAGCGTGTTTGTGAGCCACCAATGTTGTTACAATAAAATGGCTCTAGACCTCATTTACATAAAACCTCGAGTCTATAGAACAAAACCCATTATAGAATACGATATACTCCTAGACCCTAGTACATTCACACTACTGCAGTACTGCACAAACAAATTGGAAATAAATAAACTTACCCCACTGAAAAGACTCTTTGCCTGTACTTTTTACCTGAAAAACATTATAACAATAATGATTTAATCAATCACTTGCTGTAATAAGGTAACTAGTAACGGATATGTTTACACCTAGCACACACATTTCTTTAAGTCGATATATCAGCAAGAATTGTCCATTGATGATAAGGTTATTAGCAAGAAAAAGATCATGAACAAACAGTGTGCTTTGTTAACGAAATAATAACACCACAAGATTAAAGAAGCATTGAAACAATATTAAACAGAAGATTCGAGAGCAATTACCAAAGCCTCAATTGACTTTCTGTTGGTCTCCCCTGCACAAGACGATTAACAACAATGAGTTCGCTTATTACTAGCTATAGAAAGCTGCATTGCATCCGCCACTGTCCACAACTACTTACGATACAGAATATGATTACCTCTAAGATCCGGAATTTTTTTCTTGGCACCGTTACCATCTGTTGAATCAATTCCAACACCTGGTTCACAAGTATTTCGTTAAGTTCGAGTTGAACAAGAACCGAATATAGTCCAATTCATATGTTATATGGTGGCAATTCAAGAAGTTTCAGTATCATTACTAGGCCAATTCAATTCAGCTAAGCACTTAAAGCTTTCAACAAGAAAAAGTATGTGCATAGAAATATTACCCTCAACCACAGTAAAATAAGCTTCACGAGATACAGCCTGAAGAGCTCCAATCTATTACATATAAATTTATGATTAGCAGTTTCATCAAAAACAAAGAAACCAAGTTCATACTAATTCATAAGCTCTTAGAAAAAAGATGTAAATGCTCTTAGCAACAATAAGTAACATTAACAATTCAACCATTTGTACGTTACCAATACCAATATGTCTAAAATTAGTTGTCACGTAATGTCAACTTATCATAATATTAACAGTAATTTGTTGTTTGACATTTTATTGTAAAATTGACGTTTCAATGTTCGCTCTTAAAAGTAAAAAAGCAAAAACGACCCCAAGCAACTTTTTCATCATCACATAGCAAAGGTCATTTACTGAACAATATTTTTAAATGTTTGACCGGATGAAAAAGCCAAAAGCCAATAAAAGGTCATCTAAGGCCTACATAGCTCAACAACATACAAGCACGGGTAATGGGCAACACCCAAAAGGTCAAAATCATAATGTACACCTGAAAGAAGATACAATAAAATTAACATAGAAATCTACTACTAACAAAAGAACTTTCAATAAGCAAACAGAATAACAACATCGTTCGACAGCATAATCCACATCATGCTCTCGAAATATACAATCAATCTAACAATCAAATAAAACATACGTACGTACCCCAGCAGCTTTAATAAAGCTATGAGCAATGCGATTAAGAAGAGGATGCCCCAAATCAAAGTAACCTTCTTTCTCAAAGCTTCTCAACTCATCCATAACAGACCTTTTCCCCAAATTATCAATACTACTATTAGCTGGTCTAGTAGTTGCTGTTACTGTTACACTACTCATTTTCTACTTGTTATTTTCTTAAATGTAATTTTTCTTTCTTAAAATTATTTGTTACACCGAATTTTGAAGGAATTGGTTGATGACAAATTCACAAAACTTGTGTGTCGTGTCATGGTCTGCATGTTACGTGGACACGTGTAGGTTGATGAGAAATTGTAGATTCTGTAGTTTACTAGATTGTTATAATACGTGTCAAAACTTAGACAATTTCGTGCCACCTTTCCAATTACCCCGACAAATTTTGTATTTTTCTTTCATACAATATACTAATTTTGTATTTTTCTTTCATACAATATACTACCTTCGTTATATATTATTTGTAATGATTAGACATTTTTTCTCTATATACTGTATGTTAAATCGTTGCAAATAATGTGTAACCTAGGTAGTATAACGTTCTTGGAGATTAAAGAGTAGGGTTGATATGGTTGAATATGACTATGGAATCTGTTACTTGATTAGCCTTAAATAAACCGTTCTTATTGTAATTGAATATTTTGTAGCTATAAAATTATGAACTGACAAGTCCTCGCATATGAATATGATCTGAAATTAATTACTATTGTTATCGTTTATCTTATACTTATACATATTATACTTTTATGACATTATTGTAATCAAGCCACATCACATCATTATATTTAAAAATTTCATGCATTTCAACATAGTAAAACTCACTTTTTATATTTTATAGACATCTTTATAGTTGTCTTATGGTTTCAAATTATTTTATATAACCCCACAAATCACCCCATACATTTAGTATATTTTTTTTTTGAAAAAATGTCAAAAATTAACCCGATATATTATAGCCTTTAATTTAGGATAATTTTTCACTTTTTGGACTCGGTAAAAAGAATGTCAAGATGCTTCCTATGAATTCTAATTCACCTCGGAATTCCATTTGGGTGGATAAAATCGTCCGATATGCCTTTAAATTGTCAATTTACACGTTTACAACTTGCGCCAACTGCATTAACACAATACTACCACAAACATTTATGACAACATTTAATAATCAAACTATATGATTCTAAACGGCATTATATGACCCCGGGATGTATCCCCCAGCATCTTGAGACTTTTCGATACCGGGTCTCGAAGCCTCTGAAATTGCTCAAAAAATGTGAATATTACCGAAAAGCTTCCTATAGACCCTAATACCCTCTGAGAGTCCAATTCGGTGGGTGGAACTAAAGCTATCAAAAGTTGACCCGACCCGAAATACCGACTCAACCCTGATTATTAACGGAACCATCTAAACCCAAAAAAATGGTGACCCAAACCCGACCTGACCCGACCTGAAACCAAACCTAGACCCGAGTTGACCCGAGTATGTGAGACTCGAACCCGAACATGAACTGACCTAGAGATGACCCAACCCCAATGTAACCCGTAAATTATTGACCTGAATCGAACCCGACTTAAACAGAAATTGACTCAAACCCGTTTTAACCCGTCAAAATCCAAATTTTACCCGACTTGTTACTAACCTGACCTTAATTCAACACAACCCGAATTTATCCCAACCTACTACAAACCCGACCCGAAATCAACCGGACTTGAAATTAAACTAACCCAAATTCAACCCGAATTGTTATTGACCCGACCCAAATTTTACCAGACCTATTACTAACCCTACCAAAAAATTTAATCCGATCTGTTATTAACCTGACTCGAAATCAACACGACTTGTTATTGACCCGACCTAAATTCAACCCAAATTGTTCCTGACCCGATTTCAAATCACCTCAAATGCAATTTAGACAACCTTGTTATTGTTGATCAAAGCATTTTGTCTAGGGAGACCAAGTCGGTCCAGGCCAGGAAAAGAAAGGAGCATCACCTTAAATTTAAGAATTAAATATAGTATATATTTGTTGTATGGTCAAAGGAGATAATTATCTTCCTAAATTATAGGCTA